CGTATTACCACATTCTGGCCAGTTGCAATATGTAAAGTCCTACGTTACTCCCCCCCGAAACAGTTTCACTGGTTGCCAGTTGTTTTTAGCACCGAATTTAGGGAACTCACAATGGTGTTTAAAGCTATCTCCAGGACAACTTATTCACATATAGTCCTTCTCACATTTTCAGGTCATCAGTGGAACACCTCCAGCATATCTTCCCACGTTTTGTTTGACTTCCATACTGAATTCAGTTTTTATATGATAGGCCCACATTGTGGAAAAAACTTTCACTGGAGTTGAAACAAACTCCCTAAGAGGATCTCTTTAGTACTATTTAGCAGAGTTTAATTAATCAACCAATTAAAACATACTTATTTATCCAAACCTTTATTTGTATTTCTTATTATTTTATTCATTATTTCTATAACAGTGGGCAGCACTTGCATCTTATAAACAAACAAACTTACAGCATTTTTATAAATTATGTTGTACTGAGCTATCTCATTTCAATCTTCACTTACTGAGGGAAAAAAGTAGCATGTTCTTTCCAAGGATCATCAGTCTCCTTCCAGTCATTCAGATACCCACTACAGTAAAAACACTGTACGACATCCTTTCTTCCTGCAAAAAGGCAGTAGCAGTTCAACAATGTGGTTGTTATATATATCTATATTTTTAAAAAAATAAGAATGCTGTCTTCAGTGTTTTATTGATCTTTTTCTTTAATTTTTATCAGAAATCTGTAATATTCCATTTTGTTTCAGTTGACTTGTTATCAATATATCAGTATCATTGAAGTAGTGGATATAATGCTATTTTATAATATAAAACAAAAACAAAATAAAAGACTCACACAAATGCAGGCCTAGATTGAATCAACAGAAACATTGTGTCAAGATCAAGAGAAGTCATTATTCCTCTCCATTCTGCATTGGTCAGACCACATTTAAAATATTGCATCCTCTACTGTGCCCCTCATTCTAGAAAGGATGTTGACCAACTGTAGCACATCCAGAAGAGAACAACAAAGATGATAATGGTATGAAAGATAAAACTTATCACAAACAGCTGGAACTATTGAGTATCTTGGCCTGAAGAAAAAGAAAGCTTGAGAGAGACATAAGAGCTGTCCTCAACCATCTGAAGGACTGGCAAGTAGAAGAAGGACAGAAGAGTTCAAAGTTGTTCCAGAAGACATGACAAGAAACAATAGTTGTAAATTACAAGGAAATAGCTTTTAGTTGGAGATCAGTAAAAATATCCTAACAGTAAGGGATGTTCTCTAATGCAGTAGACTGCCTTGAGAAGCTATGGATTCCCCTTCTTTAGAAGTACAGTATTTAAACAGAGGATGGATGGCTATCTGGCAGGGATGTGTAATGGTATGTGAAAAAGACCTTGAAAGACAGGGTAAAGAGATGCTACCTAGGGAATGGCCAGATAAGAGAGGGCCCAGCCCGCAGTTGCATATTGGGAGGAGAAAGAGGCTCAGAAGGACCCTCCCTAGCTTCCCAGGCTGTAAAGGAGACAGCGGGAGATTTGTACTTTCAGACTTGCAAGATTCTGCCGATGTAGCCTTACAATAAAGTAGAATTAGCTCATCTGGTCATGTTTCCTGTCTGGTCTACCTGGGAAGGCTGATAGGTTGCTATAATACTGGATTCCTACACAGGGCAGGATTTATATGATTCCAGCCCTTCCATTCTATGATTCTGTGAATTTATTTATGCATTTATTTAAAAGATTTGTAAACCGCCCGTCTTACAAAACAACTCTGGGCAGCTCACAACAATAAAACTACAAAATCATAAAACCATAAAAACTATAAAACTAAAACTAAAATCTAAGCTCCTTAGTCATCCTCCTAAGATGCCCTGACAACCATCTAAGGCTCCTATCACTCTACCCCAGGTTTTTATGGCCTTCTGGAAGGCCAAATAGCAGTTGAAGACAAAGAATATATATCAAGATATATCACTTATGTTAAATTTCCATCCCCTTCCTTTGACACCCTTGTATTGGCTTCCTTATACCCATACTACATACATAGAGCTCAGCCCTCAAGCAAGCACAGTTGCTGATTATAATGAATAGGCTATGAAAGACTGAAAAAAGGATGATGATGCTTTAAGGAATACATTCTTTAAAGTCAATGTTTCTCTTAAAGCAGCCGCTCCTTTGTTGAGGGTTGCACAAAACCTGAAAAAAGTTGAGCTGCTTTAATGAGTACCACAAAGGTGCTACAGTCACACATATTCACAGTTGAAGCCCTTCCTCTGAATCATTTTCCAAGCATGTAGAAACTCATAAAACAGTATTAAGATTAAATATTCAGAGTAGTGGCATTAATGTTTAACTCTACATCAGTGTTTCTCAACCTTGGCAGCTTTAAGATATGTGGACTTCAACTCCCAGAATTCTCCATCCAGCATGCCACTAAAGTTGAGAAACACTGCTTTATGTGCAAGGAATTTCAAATACGGAAACAAGTTTTCTCGGTGACTTAATTAAAATGTTGTTCAACATAGCCAGCATTTTAGACATCTGTCTTTTGATTTGACTTAAATATAAATAATGTACAGATGTTTTCAAAATATTGTTTAAAATATATGTATACAAAATACAAAGATATGCAGATAGAACAAGAAGTTGATTATTAGTTAGAACTGAATACAAATAAGAAAAGGTTAACCAAATTCCAACAAGACATTGCAGACATTGGTAAACAAGAGCAAGATGATGAAAAAGAGCAACAGGAGACTGACCTGTATAGAAGAAGCCTGCTTTGGCCAGAATTGCTGGATCAGCGTGTGCATCTCGTGGCCAAGTTTTAAAGGATTCCAGCCGAATCTCTTCATCCTTATAGATGTTCAGAGAGGGTTCTATCTCCTCTTTTGCAACCAAAAACATCACAGAGTTTAGGAAGAAAGGCTTGAGAATTTGTCAAGTAGACATATTTTCATGATTTATAGCAGAGAAGAAAATATATGCTGTTTTAAAAAGATTCAGAACTGTAAAGAAAACTGTAAATCATCATTTCTCTCTATGCCTTTTTCTCATGTGTTTATACAGCATTCACTGTTTATGCATAGGATTGGGTTATAGAAGAAAATTATTTTGAATTAAGCTGTACTCCATCTTGAGTTCTTAAAGAAGAAGGTTGAAAAAAACAATGCTAAGAAAAAGATAAAACTCAGCAAATTTTTAAATGTTTCAAAGCTTTGACAAAAAATTAACTGCATGATGTTATCTGCTGCAATCAATTCCTGCCCCTTCCCCACTAAATTGATGTACAGTATTTATTCTAAATAGACATCTACATGATTACAACCATCAATAACAATTCAACCAGTACAATGATAAGGAGCCAAAGAAGCTTGTGATTCTGTATAAATTGATTCTGTGTTCACAAGCAGACAGTTGAATTTCTGTTGCAGTGACAGCCCTTTGCATCCCATCAAATTCTCTTGGAGAATGTCCATGAATCCAAAAAATGGGATCTTAATAGGCTGCAGTAGGAAAAGGGAACTCATAATGCAAATCATACAGCATACTGGACCTCATGACCACTATTAAGTTGAAGATAGCAATCTCAGAGTCTTCAGATATTTTTGATACAAGAGCCATAAGAGTCAGCCAATGAAGCTAATGTCAAGTTTGAACACCCAAAATGTCTAGGCTGCTTCCTTGTGATTTAAACCACAGGCCTAGAATTATATTTCCATTACTGTACCTGGGTCAGAAGGTAAACATTTCCCAGCAGGTGCTGCAAAATGCTTTCCCTAAACAAAACAAAATGCTAGAATTAGTTTGTATTCAAGTTTCTATTTCTTCTATTATTTTAATAATAAGCTAATATATACACCGCAGTTCCACTGCATGCTTTGAATTCAATTCATAGATGTATAAATTGCTATAAGGACTTTGCTGAATAGATTTGTTCCAGGTAATCTTTCCTTAATCTGCCACAAATTTATTCTTTGACACATAAATATGTCCTGGACAGCTGCAGTTTTCACCATCATGGTAGGCCACCAATTTTGATCATCCTGGACTCTTTTTTTCCAGAGCTCAGCATCAGGTAACTGCCACTTTAATTTCCCACAATACCCAAACACTGTACATTTTAATTTTGTGAAGAAATGGAAATAGTTTCAGTAGGTTCAGTTGGTATGACTTTCCAGCAGAAAAGTTAAGATCTTGAGGATTATTCTCTATTAACAGTAGCCCTTTAAAAAGTCTAGCTGTTAGTCTAATGTTTCAGTAAAATAAAAATGAAAAGAGAATACCATAATGCCAAAAAATCCATGATAATTTTGAATATACTGTTTAATTTCATCTCTGGACTTCTTCATTTGAAGAAATTCACATCTATAAAATAATAATATAATGGTAATTTATGTATTTTAAATGATCACAACAGTTTCTGATATAACAATTAATGGAATCTCAGTCTATCCTGTTATCTGACCATGAACTTAAGGCACAAATGTAAATATTTCGTAATGAGTATATTGAGGGCATTTTGTACAATGAGCAACTTGAGTTTCTTATTATGAAATAACAAGGACATGTTGCTCTAGTTTTTATTCTCAGGACTCTTACAGGTTTTTTTGTTGTTTTTTTTAAGAACCTAACATACAAATATCCAAGAGCAACATTCCTCTAGCTGGTGCCTGCCAGAAATATTGGATTACAAATTCCACCATCTGCTGTAAGCATGTTCATTGGCAATGCTAGCTGGCAATGATTATTGTAGCCCAAGATATCTTGAAAGTATCAGGCTGGAATTTTGCCCAATAGAAACGAATGTATTAATGTATTTATTCATACTATTTACGTTGTTTTTCTAACAACTAAACTATTATATTAAAATCTGACCACCATTCCAATTTTCAGAGATGGTGGTGGTGGAAGATGGAACAGTGACATCCTAAGGGGTGGTTGAAGGTGGAAAGGGTTATTCCTTCCACCTGCTCATCCCAAGCAATCCAGAGAAAGTCATTTGGTGCCTGGGAATAAGAAGCCAATCAGCAGCCTGGAAGGGCAGGAATGGATCAGGAGGACCTAAGACTTCCAGGCTCCCCTTCAGTCTGCCTGCATCATGTTTCTCCACTCGCCCATTCTTTTGTTATTACTTTTAGGCTAATATATCTGTTTTCTGAAATGACTTCAATTTCATCACAACTTGTTGCTGATGTTTGAGATATTGGGTTGGATCAGGGTTCAGTACCCTAGAAACCTCTGGCCAACCCTTACCTATTAATCCAACCCCAATGGGAACTTAGTTTTTATGTTCAGTTTATTGTGTTCTTTACCCATTCCCGCTGTTTTTAATACTGCCAAAGCAATACACAGTATTGTTCAAATAAGAAATCGTGCCAAATCATGTTAACATAAACATACATATGTATACATTTCAAAAACTGCTAAAAACTGTTTGAAATGTTAAATGTAAAAGTTATTCTTCCAGGATGCAGAGAGGGTAAGTTTAATTTCATTTCGAAAAGGAGAGTGTTTCACAGACACAGCAACACAGACATTCTAACAACACTTTTGCAACTGAGAATGCATGTGGAAGGCATTTCGAAACAAGTAACCGAAGAAGAATCCTGTAATGGCCCTGTGATGGATGAATATTGAATTGTGTTGTCATGAGGCTAAATTACTATCACCCTACATTGATTGGTGCTTTCCTTCAAGGATAACATGGAGACATGGTCAGCAAGCAAGCTTGTAGTTAGTGGCCACAGATTACCAGAGATACTGTGGCTTTGCTGTTCATTTGGCTATCTTGGATTTGCTTCAAGGGATCTGGTGGTGGGGTGTCAGCTGCTGGGAATATGTAGCACTGTGACTACAGTAAGCTCATAATATCTCCAATATCAGAACCAGGAATATAAAGGGACTGTAGAATTGTCTTGTATATTACTCACTCAGGAAACCATTTTGCATGTTCTTTCCATGGATCATCACCTTCTTCCCAGTTTCCCAGGCACCCAGTGCAGGCAAAGCATTGAACTGTGTCTTTTATGCCTGCATGTAAGACAATTACACAGAGCTGAGCTATTCATCTGACCCCTGGTACTTTGAAGCTATCCTTCTGGAAGGCAAAGCAGTACAATAAGAATGCCAATCAAGTAGATGATTGAATTAATAGGCAAAGCCATATTAATCATCCTCGTTTGTTTATAAAAACCAAAATATATATAAAATGTTATATTGAATTTATAGACATAATTGTAGCTTCTAGTGGATGCCTATGGACCAAAACATGTATACTTCTGCCTGCTTGGCCAAGGAAAAGGTTTGTTTGTTTGTTTGTTTGTTTATTTATTGGACTTATACGGCTGCCTACCTTATGCACAATAACCCTGGTGGCTCACAAGAACAGCAGTTAAAAATATAAAAAGGAATAATAACAACACCCAAACAGTGACCCCAAACAGACAGTCCTCCATACATTGAAATTTACAGTTACTGGCCTCCATTTGCCACCTAACTCAATGCTTGGGGGAATAGCCTGCTCTAGAAGGCCTTCCAAAAGACTAGGGGAATGGGGGCCAGCCAGATCTCAGGGGAGAGGGTATTCCATAGGATGGAGGCCATTATGGAAAAGGCACACTTCCTAGGTCCCACCAGATGACAACATTTAAGGGGAAGGACCTGGAGCACACCAACCCCTATCTGACAATGGCAGAACAGGCAGATACCCTCAGGGAAAGGCAGTCCTACAAATAACTTGGTCTGTGGCATGCAGGGCTTTAAAGGTGATAACCAGCACCTTGAATTGCACCCAGAAAGAAACTGGATCAGCCACAAGTTGTAATAATACTTGTCATGAACAGTTACCAGAACTCTTCTGGTCCATGGGCTCATGAGATACCCAGCACTTCCTGGAGGACCCTGTATTGCCCAAAAGGTAACCCAGTTAATGTGAATGAGCTGCCAGAAACACCAGTAAGAAGGTTTGATTGGGTTAGTGGCTTGGTGTATGATGGAATAGTACCACCAACCAAAATAAAAATGATAATATTTCTCAATAGCAAACAGTGTTGGAAATGTGGTACAATTAAAGGATCGCAAATTGTAGCAATATTGTTTAGCAACTTGTTAGCCAAATTTTGTAACTTAACCAAAAATTCATAGTCTTATGTCCTCTTTGGAGCATGGAGATCCAGCAGAGACAATATTTTGGAAATTACAGAATAAATATGCTTGAGATTACCTGTAAAGAAAAATCCAGCATTAGCCAGCAAAGCAGGCTGTATCTCTTTGCAATAAAATGGCCAGTTGGTGAAGGATTCAAGTCTTGACTCCATTTCTTTGTGCTCATTTTTTACTTCTAGAGAATTGTCCTCCGGATTCTGTACTCGGACATCATATTTAGAGATGTTACCAACCTCTTTGCCTAAAATAAATTTGCAGCTGGACCACTGCTTCTTATGTTCTTCAAAAGGTGACCTTTCAATATGTCTTGCGAGCAAAACTAATCCACAGCAAAAACACTGTATTGCAGACTTAACATTGGTGTTATAGAAGCCAGCTGCAGCCATTTCTGAGGGCGCCCAAGTCGATTTACAATTACTAGGTAGGGAGAGGAAGGTTTTTAACCTTTTGGCTTCACTTCTCATTGTAGAATTAAACCCTCTTTGTAGTTGCTTGCGGATTTGCTGGTAATCTAGCTCCATTTCTTCAATCAGCATGCTAAAATTGAAATTCATCTGAGGGTAGAAAGCCTCAAAATAAGAGGGATCTAGCTCTGAAATGTTACTGATATCTGCAGAAGTCTCTTGGGTAGCCATTCTATTAAAACAGTAAACAAAACAAAAGTCTAAGTCAAGAAACCATAAATGATCTGGGCTCTGAATTTACATTCTTCATTGCATAGGGTGGTAATAATTATGGTGTTTGTTTTTCAGGTTTACTCCAAGGACCACAGTGGCCATCATCTTGGCCTGTGGTCAAGAGAAAGTAACGTGGCTGTGCTATCACAAGTAGTATCAGTGGTTTTAGTATATGTTTAGGGCATAGCCA